CTGGCTCCGTCCGCAGGCTGGGGTGCCGTGGCGCGATCTCGGCTCACCGCAGCCTCCGCCTCCCGGGTTCAAGCGATTGTCCTGCCGCAGCCCCCTGAGTAGCTGGGATTACAGGTGCGCGCCACCACGCCCGGCTAACGTTTTGTATTTTTAGTAGAGACAGGGTTTCACCGTGTTGGCCAGGCTGGTCTGGAACTCCTGACCTCAGGTGACCCGCCCGCCTCGGCCTCACAGAGTGCTGGGACCCCAGGCCTGAGCCGCTGCCCGGCCCGTCAGACAAGGAGATTTTATTTTATTTTACCATTTTAAAACACGATCACAGTAACACCGATAACACTGAAAAATAAACAACAAGCCGGCTTGTGGCTCAGGCCTGAAATCCCAGCACTTTGGGAGGCTGAGGCGGGCGGATCAGCTGAGGTCGGGAGTTCTGACCCACTTGGAGAAACCCCGTCTCCACTAAAAATACAAAACGGGCCCTTGACCTCTCCCGTCTCCACCCCCACCCTCGGGATGTGGCCTGTCATCAAAATAAGTGCAAATTCCTCCACAAGCCTCCAGGCTTTTGCCAGGGCAGTTCCTGCTGCCTGGAACACCCACGCACACCCCACCCGTCTGTGACGAATCCTCTGTGCCCAGCTGCTTCTGTTCCTCCGCCAGGCCACCGCTGGGCCACTCTGAGCGGGGCGGAATCCAGAGTCCCCCACCCGAGCCTGTCCGTAGCCGCCCCCCACCTGCACAGGGCCTCCCCTTCCTGGCTTCCTGCGGCCTTTCCAGAGATTGCCTTGCCCTAGGCTTGGCACAGATGGGTGTTGGGATGGATGAATAAACGGCTCACCTGCTTCCTGCCCCTCCAGGCCTGCCCGACTGAAAGGGATTCTGTCCACCTCAGCCCTCGGGCCTGATCTGTGTGTGTGGAGGCCTGGGTGCTGGGGGGCAGAGACGGGAGGACCACGGAGGGGGGGTTAGATCACAAACACCACGCATGTTTGCTGAGAGACGTGTCTGTGATTTTTACGGGGGAGCAATTTCAGGAAGAAAGGGGACTGAAATCTCACAGTGACCCTGGGGGGGCTTCTTTTCATCCTCTGCTTCCAGCTGAGACCCTCAGGTAGCGCTGGGAGAACGGACAGCCGGGAGCATCTGGGAGGCGTGGGTCGGACCCTGCGTCTTCCCTTTTAGGGAAGAAAACGTCTCAGCAGCCGGCCCTCCTTCCCTCCGCCCTCCGCAGAGGCAGCCGTGGCCAGCTCCTCTCCCGGCAAAGGAGAAGTGGGAGACGTGTGAAGGGTCCCTGCCTACTCCTTACTTATTTTGCAGGCGGACTCCTACACACGCGTCCGGGAGCCAGCCGGCGAAGGGGGAGCAGGGTGCCCATGGTGGGGGGGAGGCTGGCTCCAGTCTCAGGTGTCTGGGCACCGCCCAGGTACTTGTCTATGGCGAGGCTGGGGCGAAGGATAGAGAACACGCTTTCGGTGGAGTGCGGATTTTCTGGAAAATGCCGAGCACGTGTGTGGAGATGGGGTCTTGCTATGTTGCCCAGGTTGGTCTTGAACTCCTGGGCTCAAGGGATCCACCCACGTGGACCTCCCAGAGTCCTGCCACCGCACCTGCCACGGCCAAGAATTTACCTCTGAGCAAGTGTGCCAGGGTTCCGGGGGAAGCGTCTGCGTGGCCTCCCCCCTCAGCCACCGTTGTCACGCCTCGTTCCCTCTGTCCGGTGCCGTGGTTTTCGTGACCGTAAAAGGCGTCTGTCTCGCTTTCCCTCACGATTGTTTTCTAGAGCGATTCGTGGTGATTTGTGGAGAAAAAGTGGCCCTACTGCTGGGTGGCCCCGTCTTGGGAATGGGCCACAGTCAGCCCGTGCTGACCCAGGCGGCCGTGCCCAGCTCCCTGGGGTGTGGGCGGTCACTCACCTGCGGGGGCCGCTCCCTATGGGGGGTGTGGGTGGCGGCAGCTCACGACACCTCCCCGCACATCATGGGTGAGGGCAGGAGTCCCCCTGTCCAGCAGTCACCTAGCCGGCGCGTGTTCACCTGGGCCGAGGGGACCAGGACTCCCTGAGCTGCTTGTACAAACTCACTCTCCCCCCAGCCTTCCATGGGAGTCTCTCCCTCCCACATTCTCCCCTGGGCTTGATAATGTCAGACTTCCTTGTTGTTGCCAAAGCTGTGAGCGTGGAGTGACATTCTGTTTTAATTTACATTTGCCAACAGCTGTTGACATTAATGGGTCAGAAGACAGTTGTTGACCCTTTAGGGTTCGTCTCCTGTAGCATCTGCTCGGCCCTTTGGGGTTTGTGGTTATTGGTTTGGTGCAGCTCTTTATATATGATAGTTCCTAATCCTTTGAGGAACACATTATAAGCTAAGTTCTTCCCCGTCTGTCTCTTGGCTTTTAGTGTCGGCTGTGGGGTCCTTTTGCCCCAGGGCCCGTGAGGAATCGTGGACTGTTTTACTCCTTCTCTCTCTCTCTCTGTGCAGGTGTCCCGGGTATCCAGGGCAGCCCAAATGGCAGTCCCCAGCTCCCGGATCCTCCAGCTGTCAAAGCCGAGGGCCCCGGCCACCCTGCTGGAAGAGTGGGACCCCATGCCGAAGCCCAAGCCACGCGTGTCAGACTATAACCGCCTCCTTCACCTGGCCAGTAAGTGAGTGCCTCAGACGGGGTGCCTCTGATGCCCCGTCCAAATCCTGGGGACACCCTATACCTCTGCCTAGGGCAGGCGGCGGGAAGCTCTCCCCCAGGAAAGAGAAGCAGAAATCACCGGGAGTGTCGTCCGGAAGCACAGGGTGTTGTCTGGGTGGGCTTCCTAACAGGGAAAGAAGGCGTACAGGAGAAAGGGTGCAGAGCAGGGGCCAGAGAGCCACGCTACGGTACAAAGGCAGCTTTAAGACGGGTGTTGGCGTGGCCGGGTGCGGTGGCTCACGCCTGTAATCCCGGCACTTTGGGAGGCCGAGGTGGGCGGATCACCTGAGGTCAGGAGTTTGAGACCAGCCTGACCAACATGGAGAAACCCCATCTCTATTAAAAATGCAAAATTAGCTGAGCCTGGTGGGGCATGCCCTTAATCCCAGCTACTCAGGAGACTGAGGCAGAAGAATCGCTTGAACCCAGGAGGCAGAGGTTGTGGTGAGCCAAGATTGTGCCATTGCACTCCAGCCTGGGCAACAAGGGTGGAACAATGTCTCAAAAAAACCAAAAAACAAACAAACAAAAAAAGCAAAGAGAAATGGGTTTTGGCCTCGACTCCCTTTCTGTCCATTAGGACAAATTGAATACCCATTTCCCTAACACAGGAGTAATGCCTGCACGCTGCGGAGAAGTTGCTTGGCCATTTAGGTTTACCCTTCCGCATTGTTCTCCCAGGTTCCTGCGGCCTGGTGTTTTGGGTTGTAGATTGGGAGCAGCTCTTTGTATAATGTGGCAGCTCTTTATGTAATGTGGCTACTAATCCCTCAGTGAACACAGGCGCCGTAAGTTCTTCCCGGGCTGTGTCTTGTCTTTTAACTTTGCTTGTGGGGCCTTTTCTTGTTTATTATTCTTTCCTCCGTCTCCTTGACATCTGTGAAATGATGAGTGAAATGCGCGGGAACAGCTGAGTGCCACCATAGCACCGCCCCAGCCGTCCCGCACACACGCGCGCTCACCACAGACACACGCGTCCCGGATACAGACGCCGACATGCTGGTGCGTACACGCATGTGTACGTCCATCCGTGTTTCAGATGTGCGTGTAAACGTATGTCCACGTGTGCGCGCGTGTGAGGACGGTGGAAAGTTGTGTTTTCAAGCTGTGGGCTTCACCCACGCCTGGTCGGGACCAGCATTTTGAAAACGTGCAGCAGACGAGCAAATGAAGAGCACTGAACTGTGGGGCGAGAGCGCGTTTGTGGCTGGGCCGTTTCTCTGTTTGCTCACACTTGCCGTGCGGGCTCAGTCACCGCCGCGAGAGTGCCAGAAACTCAGCAGCTGCAGAAGCCCAGATGCTTCCTCAATTCTCAGAGGAGTTCAAAGGGGCCGGGCTCTGGGCACAGCCTTCCAGCCCCCTTAGGGCCACCAGGGCCCCACTGTTCAGCCCCCTGACCCTGCACACGGGTGTCGGGCAGGCAGGGTGCCGTCCACCCAGAAGGTGCAGGAGAGATACTTGGGGTGAAGAGCAGGGGCCAGAGAAACAGTCACACCCGTACCAGGGTGGCGGTGTTTATATTCATGATGTGTGTGTGTGTGTGAGTGTGTGTGTGTGTGTGAGTGTGTGTGCGTGTGTGTGTGTGAGAGTGGTGAGTGTGTGAGGACAGGCTAAGGCGGTGCCGTGTACCCATGTTTATATTCACCGTGTGTGAGTGTGTGTGTGTGTGAGTGTGCGTGTGTGTGAGTGGTGTGTGAGGACAGGCTAAGGCGATGCCATGTACCCATGTTTATATTCACTGTGTGTGTGTGA